AGTTATGATTCTGCCTGTCTAAAGCTGGAGTACAGATGAGAAAGCCCTTACACAGGAGAATGATCAGGATGTCTCAGAACCACAGAAACCAAGAGGGCTCTGTAGCAGGGTGCTGCAGGAGCACGACACCGCGCCTCTACTAACTACAGAAAGCAAAAACAAGGACACCACACCTCTACAGGGCCATGTGGACACTCTGTCTTACAATAACCATGCTTTAAGGGTTTTTTTTTTTTCTCTTTCTTTTTTTGGTGGAACTCTAATAAAACCTACTTTGAAACTCGGGCTTGTCAAAAGAACAAAAGTATGTAAACGCATAGGTGCATCGTTTATTCTTTTTATTTATACTTCATTTTATAATATGAACAATTTCATCTGTGTGCTCATTTACCTGTTTAACAGCCATCAAAGTCCCGGTTCCTACATCCTGTGCTTGATAACAGGAAGAAAAGGCCCCAAGGCCTATCTGCTGGCCCTTCAGCCACTCTGTGTCTTCTCTATAAGGGTGTTTTGCTTTGGTATGTCCCGGCAGAGTCTCTGGTGTCTACATATCAAATGAAAGCAATCTTTTTATTGTTAAATTAAAAGCAAGATTTTGTGAAATTAGCCTGGCAAAATAGGACTCTTCTTTAATCTGGTTTCCCAAACCACCTTATAAACCAGAACTCTGAAAGGACTCTGTTGGTAACTATTTACCACTATAGAATCAATCAGAAATGTCTTTGAAATAGGTCAGAAACATCACTGTTTCAGAGATGCAAGTGTCACTGCTGTGTAATCCACCCCAAGGAAAGCCCGCCTGCGAGGACTACCTCGCCTGGACGCAGCACTTGCGGCCTAGCGCTGCCCGGGGCCGTACTCACGTCCTGCTGGATGATGATGATGTCTTCTCCATTTTCAACCTGCAGCTGAGGAACCACGGGGAGGGCGTCCTGGGAGGCCGACATGGCCATGGCAATCGCTAGGGCCTCCTCTTCCTCAGCTTCCATCTTCTCTTTGCACTTCTGATTGTGATTCACGTCATCTTTGTAGGTATCATCATTTTCAGCCTTTTCAGGAGAGAGAACAGCAACTTCTGACTTAAAAGTGACTGTTGTGTCACTTGAAGGCATAGATGCTTCCAGAAGGTCCTCAATACTGGAGTTGAGCTCTGTGTTGACATCTAATCTGCACTTCTCTTCCACTGGGGTGAACGCCGTCTCCCCGCTGGGTATCACGGCATTACTGCCGCTGCTGCTACTGCCAAAGCTGTCAGCACACTTGGAAGTGCTGTTCAGATCGAGCGTCATGCCATCTTTTGAGGCATCTCGCTGTTTACTTGTATTACCTGGGGCAGGTCGTGATGGCTTTGGCCTGTGTATATTGGTGGAGGGCGAGGGTCGAGACTGAGTGAAGATGGGAGAGAGCTTGTCTGAGTCTTTGTTTTCAGAACAGTTTCTCTGGAATTGTAGAGAAAACTTGCGCTGTGTTTGAGGAGATGCAGAAGGTATTTTGCAGGGAATGAACCCCTGAGGTCTATGCTTGGAGACATCTGTTACCGAGCCAGCTGGTACAGATGGGGCAGATGATGGAGGGGAAGATAAGGCCGGGAATGTTTGCTGGGAATGATGAGATAAAAGACAGGAGTTCAAACACTGGCTGTGAGGCCGACCTTTTGTCTGAAGCATTGGCTTTGGTTGCTCTGTTGTGGCTGCACTAGGAAGTCCTACTGAAATGCTGGCCAGCCTGTCAGAAATGTCCTCTGAGCTGCCACTCATTCTTGTAGGACATAATCCTTTTCCAGTTTTGTCTCCATGGACTGTGTGCTCCAAGGAACCGTCCCCCGTGGCCTCTGGTGAGCTAGTATGGGCAGAGTCCCGTAAGAAACTATCTTGTTGAGCACCAGGGCTATCTTCCATGCCCAGCTGGATGGCCTCAGCGATTTCCACTTCATCTGCAATGGCCATCAGACGGCGGCGCATCCTGGCGAAGTGAGTGGAGCTGGACACACTCAGCATTTCTAACAGTTTTGAAAACACATGGGGGACTGCAGTCACCATTCTCGCAGAACTCAAATAGATTCTTCGAGACAGTTTTCCAACCATTGAGTGGGAATTATCAATGGACTGCAAAGCAAAGGTTAAGAGGGACAGCAGCTTTTTATACCTGGGGAAAAAAAAAAGAAAAGAAAAAAACCATGTTTAAGTACTAGAGAAGTTCAAATTACTCAAGAATGTATGTACATTTTAAAAAGGTAAATTTTTAGCTTTACACTTCAAAAAGCATTTTGGTATGAATGATTATTAAGTAGTAGAGACTTCACATTTCTATGCCAACCAAATATTAAGGTATTACTAACTTTTATCTATGCTCTTTTAATTTCTGAGTCATAATCTAAAATGTACACTTCTTGGGGAGGATGTGGGGTAGGTAGGAAGAATGTACATCCACAATAAAAAAAAAACTACCTGATTTCAACAGGCTCAGCTTGTGAAACATCAGTACTGACAATATGAGGGTAGAATTCAGCAGGAAATTCCAACAACAGTCTGTCTATAAGACAAAGGCGACCCAGGAGTTCTTGCCAGTTGTTGGACTCAATTTGATTTCCAAGAATACAATTTAAGACATAATCAACACCACCAATACCAATGGATCCTGTAAAAGGAAAGTTAAAAAAAAAAAAAAGATTTAAAAGTAAAACTGAAAAACATGACAAAATGGCGCAAGGACAACAAAAATTCTCTGCATTATATGTAGCTTTAAGACTTTCTGTGAGAGCAATTCATATTTCCAACCACAGCTGAATCAATTTATTTACTTCAATATATTTACAATCAATTTATTTCCTTCAAAATCCTGTAACTGTCCCACGAGGTTATGAGAGTAGCCTAAGGTGAATGACAAAAGATGTGAGACAAATTTTAAGTAAAAAGTTATTACCAGCTTTAAGTATCTCTCTACCAACTGCCAACTCGCCTGCTTGGCCTCTGCACAACTCCAGCAGTGTGGATATGGACAGCTGACTTGTGCGGCTAAAAAGCAAAGGAAGCCAACGTGAATTCTGGATCCAGGAGAGAACAGACTGACAACACAACATGAAGCCTTCTGAGAAAGTGGAAACATCGTCTGTTCAGGAGTGTCCCGATTTCTCCTCAAAGCCTCTCTCAGTCGTAGGTGGGGCTCTTCAGGGGTTCGGGTCTAGAGAGCCTGCCGCTGGGATTCAGGGTGGGTGGCTGCTGAATGAGTGCCGTGCCCGGCGGGGCACAGCTCCCGGTGTGGGTCACGGGAGGGCCCAGCGTGGCTGCGAGGGCTGCAAGAATGCGAAGGCGCTAGGAGGCCAGCTGCTCCCACCCGCTGCCGCCACTCTGCCTCACTCAGCTGTGCCTTCTGCTCACCATGAACTGCTCTCCCGTGTCACCTCCCTCCACGCCACACTGCTGTGGGGCCGGCCACCCATGAATCGAGGCCTCTACACACTACGCTACAATGAACCTTTCCTTTTCTTTTTTGTCTCAGCAATGAGGATTACTTTTTCATAGCATAACAACATATTATAAACAATATTTATTATTAAGTATAGTTTCATAAATTTCTGTGAACACAGAATCTTCTGGACTGGCTTCTGGGGAGCAAGTAGCAATTTAAATATCAACTTGGATGAAAGGCTTATATTCATTATCATATCTTCTTCAAATAAAAAAGTAGATTCTAGGGCCCATGAGATAGCTCAGCAGATTAAAGCATCTGTTCAGGCAGACGCAGTGACCATCTCCATTGGATTCCAGGCGTGCCATGCTGGCCCCGCCCCCGGGGCGTGCTGAGATAAGAATGAGACTGGGCGTGGTGACGCATGCCTATAGTCCTGGCACTTAGGAGGTGAACACAGGACAATCACTGAGTCAGATCTACGTAGTGAGACCCTGTGCTAAATACATTAAAAAAAAAAAAAAAAAAAGCAAATTCTGACATTATTTCTAAACTTTCAGTAAGAATTTTCTGAATTAAAAACAAAACTTTAGCAGGGTGTGATGGCGCACATGTACAATCCCAGCACTCAGGAGCCTGAGGCAGGAGGATTGCCACATGTTTGAGGCCAGCCTGGGCTACATAATTAGTTCAGAAGGAGCCTAAACTATATAATAAGACCCTGTCTCAAAAAACCAAAACCAAAGAAACAAATTAATAAAATAAAAACAAAACTTTGTCGTCCAAAATGCTTCGACTCTCAGTTCTAGGTTCTTCAGTATGAGTTCCAAGTATTATAAAATCTCTTTACACTATTTTTACGGTTTCAATGGTTCAAGCTACCAGGTAAATGATTTAGCTTTAGAATTTCAGAAAGTGGGTGATACAATAAATACCACGAAAATATTGAAGTTCTCAGAAAATTGCCTATTCTATAATGGAAAAGTGACATTACTTTTCTTACGTATTTTATAAATTGTTGCCAATGTTTTCTCTATGCAACTAGAAAACTTCCAATATTTTTCATCTATAGACTTAGGTAAAAGATATGGAGGCAAAAAAAAAAAAAAAAAAAAGGTTTTAACGAGATCAGAAACTCGTCAAAGCTGGGCATCTAAGTTTATGAGACCCTTTGAAACACTCCTGGCCTAGGAAGGAAAGGACGCTGGGTGCAGGAGGGCTCTCAGGGGCTCTGAGAGTAAAGCCCTGCAGCTTTGTGCCGAGGCCGAGCTGGGAGCCCAGAGCCAGCAGGCACCAGGCGACTGCCAGCCACAGACACCCTGCTCAGGAAAGACAGCGTCTCACCTTCTTTATGGGAGAGGAAAGCCCAGAGAGAACCGCTGGGCTGCCCCTGTACTGGCTGCGCTGCCTGCACACTTCTCCACTTCATATTTTCCTGCCAGTCAAGACTGTTATTGTTTCTTAGCAACTTTAAGGACTTTATAGGACGGGGAAACGTTAAAGAATTTTTAAAATTTCGCATTTGGAGTAAAACTGAAAACAATAAAAATGGGGTTCTTTTGCTAGTAAGTCACAAGCAGATACATCTTGTGAATCTTCAGCTCTTCTTACTGACTGGCCTTCAGATTAAGTATGTTATGTAAAAGAACCAAGCACATGTAATTACATGCTCTTTCATGCAGTTTGTAATCTCACCTTTTTTTTTTTTTTTTGCTTACACTTTTGTGATATAATATGTAATGCTTTTCACATTCAAATATATTTTTTTCCATAATTTTATTGGGAAACAAATAGCAATGAGACAGTTTCAAATCAAATTGGTAGGGTGGTTTCAATAATTAACACATTGCATACTCTCTTCCTAGTGGTTAATTGCTGTACAAGATGCGGACATGATATCCTATTTACAAACACCATTAGAACAAATCCCTCTATTCATTAAGAGAATGTAACTATATATCTATCCTAACCACTCTGAATACACAGATACAAAATGGACATTCATCTGCATCCCTTTTTTGTTTAGTTCCATCATTTGAATATTATAGGTGTGTTAACTCAGCAAAATATTCTAAAAGAGTTCAGTAGTCCATAATAGTATTGGGTCTTTCACTTCACTGGCAATGTCAGAAATTGTTGACCTGAGTCCCCCACAGCTCAACATAACAGCATGGCTTTACTTCTTATATTTCGTTTTTATACTTTTCTGCTGGATGGTTAAGACCAAGGTAAAGCAGGAGCTGTGCAACAAGAGTTGTAGCTTTTGGGTCTGACAAGGTCAGTGAAATCCCCTCAGGATTTATCCTGAGATCCTGTACCTCAGATTGTAGAACCTTTGTCAGTGTCAGCCATGGGGATGAGTCACGGTCATTGCCTGGCCAATGTGCTCTGTTTTACTTGGCATTAGCGCCTTTCCCTAGTCCTTGAGAGCTCCAGAGTCTATATTTTAATTTCAGATCTCACGTCAGGAAAGAATAAAGACACATCTCATACAGTGTATCAAGTACGCACTAGATGTGAGGTTTGGTGCCAGGCACTTCTAATACTAGATGGCTGGAAGCAGTGCATGGCTAAGGCCGTACCTGTTGGCATCTGCACACTTGACTAAGATGGTATCTACAACTGGCCGGAGAAGTCTCTGAAGTTTGATTCTTTCTGCTAAACTGTGGCAAGGAGTATATACCAGCATGGCTCTCAATGTTTTCTGAGGAGAAAAAACTGAAGGTCAGTTTAATTACCTTTAAAAAGCACCAAAGGCAATGTCCAATCTGAGACAATGTGAACAACCAAAAATAATGGGAATGGATTACATCTAAAGTGGTATTAATCACAGTGCTACTGAACAATGATAGATGCTAGCCAACGTTCTTCAAATGTGCTAGACATTATAAGCAGAGGCTCTTACAATATAATTTCGAACCTAACAGGTAAGTATTATCATTACTTTATAAGTAAACAAACTAAAGTTTAACAGTAGTTGATTAACTTTATCAAAGTCACGCTACAAGTGGGAAAACCAGAATTTGAACCTGGTCTGTCTAGCAGACTATATATTCAGACTACACAGGCTAGTCCAACTTTAACTAGTATATTTTTCTAGCTAGAATTCTTGATAAGTATGAGATCACTTAATTCTGACCTCAAGCCTATATTCATAACCCTCTTGCTTTACTCACAAGAAGATTCACTAGGAAAAACTGCTAGTGCACGGGTTTGAAAAAAAGATTGTGAGGGTAGCCTGATGAATCTGTTTTTAAAACAGTTTATATAAGAATTATTTTAAAGCAATGACTCTGAGCTGGGGACAATTTGAAGTCCAGGGGCATGTGGCAATGTCTACAGACATTCCTGGCTGTCCTGACTTCAGGTAAAGGGCAGAGGACGAAAAGGAAGTGTGCAGCAGACGGAGAGAAGCAGCTACAGACGCGGCTACATTGCCCACGGCACACAGAACAGCACCCTGGTGGCTCCCGAGCCCCAAGGCCTTTCAGGGCAAAGACAGTAATGCTGAGGCTGTCAACAATGGTCTAAACTACATATTCAGATAGGAGAAGGTCTAATTGGTCTCTCAAATTACCTCTTTGTCATTTTCTCTCCCTCATGAGAGACAACTTCCAGCAAGTTAATCTGGAAAAACATCTGTGTCTCTATCTTGGACCCTTCTCCATACAATATTTATTAAAAGTCAAGCAAAATGTCTACTAAAAATAAATCCTTAATGCCTGACATCAAATTTTTTTTAAAAAATCAAACAACTGAGCACTTTTCTACTCCACAAAACATTTTCAGCTTGGTCGTTTGTGAGGTACTTTTCAGGAAATACATGAATAGTATCACACTGCTACTTGAGGGAAGTAAATAGTACATAAGGAAAACTTGAACAAACTCAAGTCAGTAAAATTTAAATGATTGGATTAAATTGCAATTTCCCGGGATTATGGATTAAGAATAAAATTTGGACTTCTCAAAATTACATGAGGTAAAGTAGCTTCACTAGATCTTAGAAACACTATCAACAAACCACAACAAAGAAACCATGTAATATGGTTAAAGTGAACACTTACTAAAGCAGCAACGTATACTTTGTAGACAGGGTCAGCACAGACCATTGACAAGACGCTGCAGCACGCCTCCACCACGTCTCCTGAGATGCTGGTCTGGGGGGACCCGCTGGCGGCTCCTGCACTCGGGCTGCTTGCGCCACTGCCCCCCGAGTTTCCAGTGCTCTCCCCATTTGCCAACAGCAAGGCCCCACTGACATCATGGGAAAGCCGCCTAAGGGCCATCTCTCTTACATTCCAGTTTCTAGAAAATAAGCAGCCAACGAGTTCCATTCCAAACACCTATATCAAACAAATACAGTGAAAAGAAAAACTAATAAATCCACAGTACATTAAGCACATATTTTAATTTTTAAGGGAAAACTGGTCATTTAATTCTTTACTGTTCAATTTCAAACATGTTCAGCCACTTAAAAACCATAAGGTGTTTTATATGTAAATCTAACTATTAATTACCGAAAGTCATTAACATTTATTATCTCAAGGAAAATTAAAGGCTGGGGAGATAGCTCAGTAGAGTAAGTGCTTGCCTGGCAAGCACAGGGTCCTGAGTTCAATCCCTGGTCCCGCCCCCCAAAAAAAAGAAAATTAAGAGAAAACTCCACTAACTAGATGGATATACATGTATTTTTATACTTGTGTCCCTCATATTTGCCAAAAACAACCATCTAACCCAGAAACAACTAGGAGCTCCTTATACTTATATTAGGATAGTTTACAGAGGAAAAACTGTCCTCATGATAGAGGTAAACTGTCAAGAAAAGCCAAGTCAAGAAAGGCACTAGACTAGAGGCTTCAAAACACTAAAAAGGCCTGGGACAGGGCAGACAGACCTATCCTAGTCCTTGAGAAGTTGAGGACTACCAAGAGAGTTTGAGTCCAGCCTGGCTACGCAGTGAATTCTAGCTTAGTCTGGACAGTGAGACCCTGACTCAAAAACAGTGACACCTCAAATGCAGACTGTTTTGGTTAAAAAGGGTAGTGAGTCATGAGGCAATTGACACCAACAAGTTCCAGACTGTGCTTTGAGAACCGAATCATGATGACTGAGACAGAACTTTCCCATCACAATGCATGGACGGACAAGTTTCAAACATTTGAGAGCCAAGGTCTAGCTGCAGAGTCCACAGTCCAAGCTGCAGCGTTAGCAAATCAACTAACTGTGTCCTTGAAAGAAGGGCATCCAGGGGCTGAGAATCATCGTGAGAGCTTTCTGAGGTCTCCAAATGAGCTGGTGAGGGCCTGGGTTAGATACCATGAGTGAACTAGGTTAAAGAACTACCATGTGCTTATCTGTTTTGAGGATTCTGTTAGATTCTTAATGGGTTGTTAACACACCGAGAAGAGAACCCCAAAGCTATAGGGTTATAATTGTGTCCCCAAATAATCAAATTCTAATGATACAGAAGTGTGATGAAACTGTTAACAAATAGTATTCAGTGGAATTTAACTGAATATTAACAATAATTATTTTACTTCATTACTGTTTACCGGAGACATTGTTTGTTTTTAGCCCTTACCCTGAGTACCCGGAAATGAACTCAGGACCTTGCGCTTGCCAGGCAGGGGCTGCGCTGCTGAGCTATGCCTCCAGTCCAAGCCTTATATTTTTAAGGCAGCAAAATATTAATACCAAAAATAAAAAAAACCAGAATGGACTAACAGTCATGGTAGAGGTAAACAAAAACATTTTAATTATAAAAAACTGAGGGAAAGGGAACTGGTCTACCTGGGCCTGAGACATGAAGAGCTAGAGCCGCCTACCTGAATCCACGGCTCAGCCAAGTCCTTACACGCAGGAGGGATCTGCTGAGTGCCGTAGTGAGTGAGGCTGAAGTTGCTCTCCTGACTCCTCCTCTGCGACCCTGCCAGGGGCTGCTGCTGCGTGCCCTGCTGCTGTGCAGCCCTCAAGGAAGACGGGGTGTCCACGGGGCTCGACAGCTCGTGGCTGTGAACACAACGACACTTGCTAGGAAATGGTAATATCTACACCACACTTTAAGAACATTTTTACTTTTTAACTAAACACACGTCATTAATTCAAAACGACTACCTGTAGAAATCATGGGATCTCCACTTGGACCTACAAAGAGGACATATTAAAGGTTCTCTATTTCTTCTACATTCTTCTGCCCCTGTAAAATTAAAGAAAACATCTTACAAAACTGCAATGTTTGGCATTAAACATTATATATATAATAACTTTTCACAATGGCTCTGGAAAAACCTTGTAATAATCTGACAGATGGCTTCCCTGAAAGCAGATAAACACTGCAAGTTCAACTGTTCTCCTGCTTGCACCTTTGGCAAGCGACACTATTAGCGGTTATGATGCGATGTGCCCTGCAGCTATTCAAATGGCCCGTCCCACCTGATTGCCCGGGAAGACCGCTTCTAGCTGCGCTTTGCGACCTCCCCCTCTGCCCAGCCCCTATTCCCCCTTCTCACCCTGCATGCACTCCAGACAGGAGATCTTTCTAATTCTGTGTGCTCCTCCCATTGCCATGCAAATCTTACTAAATTGTGTTGTCTCTGCTGATATGGATCATCCCAAGCTCCAATTTGTCAAAAACTGCACAGGGCTTGCACAATAGACTTTCCCCTGCTGTTACCAATCTCCCCATAAACGAGGCTACAACCCCCCTTCACAGATATCCGCTAGGTGTGGAGCAACCGCACCGAGCGCACCAGGGAACACGCCACCTACAGATGGACATGCAGTGGTGGTGCAGCTTGTTCCTGCAGCCGTCCTCACACACCGTGAGACTCTCCTCGTCGAGCATGCCCAGTAAGCAGATGGGACACATTTGCTCCTCTTCATCTTTTATGCTGCAAGGAGGAAAAGGCAAAGTACTAAATATAAAGAACAGAAAACAACACCATATGCTAATTAGTTATAAGACTTCTTTAGAATATGAGCACATTAAAGACAAGTTCTTGTTTCAGAAGATCTCCTACTAGCTATTTGAGGGATAGTTCTCTTAATATACAGTAACTACAAACCACACTCACATACGTGCGTACTTACAGGTTGTGAATCCACATTAACCTTTTACTTTGAATACAACACATGAGGTAATATCTGCAGAAACGCATTTGTATCCCTAGGATTCATTCTGTCATTGTATCTTTTTAAATAAGGCTTGACTATGATACCCTCAAGACTTCAAGTACTGGGATCTTAGGGTTCACCTCTTCTGCATCCTAGGTGTGGATGGGTGGCAGTACAAACTGGTCCAACTCTCTTAGAAACAATCTAGAAACATGTATCACATTTTAAACATGTACAACCAACCTCCCAGAATCCTAGAAATATATAAAGAAATAAGGAGAGAAAATACAGTTATATGTGTGTGAATGTTCTCTGAAGTATTGTATATAATGGAAGAAGTCAAAATCACCAAATAAACACCAAAAAGAAATTTAAACTGAACTGCATGGTGAGACCCTGTACCCAATAACATATAATGAAAAAAACCCAAGGAAACGTAAAAATTATGGTACACCAGACACTAGGAACCTCTGAAAAGGAATGAAGAGCCCCACAGAAATCCGCACCCTGTACCACCTTACAGGGTAGACCCCACAGACAACACGCTAGATTCCTAACATGTACAAGATGATTCCAGTTAGGGTATAATACGGCAACTGCAACACAAAGTGGACAACTGTATTATACATATTTGAAAATTCTTAATATAAAATATGCTTCTTAAAAATCAGCAAAAAAATGTAATTCACTCAAAAGGAAAATGGACAAGAAAAGACAATTACAATAAAAATAATATATACAGTTAATAATCATGAAGAGGTTATTAAATTAATGAAACCACAACTATATTTGGGGGGATAATTCTAATTGGCAAGAATGAAACAGCTTGGTGACTTCTAACCCTGCCAATGACCTGGTGCAGCTCTCAAAGGGCCTTGCATTTAGGCTGAGGTCCAATATTGTTAGTTTTAAAAGTCAGCACATAGAAGTTCAAACAGAAACACTCAAAGTAGAAAAGTACAGTCTCCAGTGCAATTGCACACAAAATAACTGTTGTTAACAGTGTAAGGTAACTTTTTAAAATTATGAAAAACAAGGAAATACAACCTCTTGCATTCTGTAATTAAGCACACACACGTTTCTCGTCTTATTTTAAACAAACTCATGCTGCCTAATTGGGTAATTTGGTCTGAAAAAGTTTTTCTCATATATATTTATGATGGGAACAAACCCTGAAATTTCTAGAAGCTAATTTTGTTAAAACACTAAACGTACAGATCCATGATCAAAAAATTGGATTTTTGAGGCTACTATGTTACAGAAACATCGCAAGGATACAAACAAAAAACAGAAAAAACGATTGCATTTAATAGGCAAGCGAAAAGCTAAAAGTGTACTTAAGAATCACTAAGGCAATGGCAAAGCTGTGGGATAGCCACAATCTTATACAGCCGTGGGGGGAAAAAATGAAAAAGATGTGTGTATGTTTATACTGGCCTGGAAAAATGTTATTGATGAATAAAATAAAAGAATAAAATCAGGTTGCACCAGAATTCTGGAAAACTGAGCAGCAAGACAGAAGCTCGAGCCCTGCCAGCCAACTCAGTGCCTAGGGAGACTGTCTCCAGATTAAACGTAAAGAAGAGCTGGGGCGCAGCTCAGCGCAAGGCCAAGTTCAGTTCCTAGTACTGCCAAAAAGAAAGCTGCAGACCACCTGCCCAATTAGGCAGTGTGACTTGGTGACTGTTTAAAGAAAGATGAGAAACGTGTGTGCGTGCGTGCTTAAGTACAGAATGCAAGAGGGGTTTTGTTCTTCCTAATTTTAAAAATTACCTTACACTAACAAGTTATTTTGTGTTAGAGACTGACTGTACTTTTCTATTTTATAAGTGTTTCGGTTTGAACTTGTATGCGCTGGCTTTTAAAACTAGCAATATTGCGCCTCAGCCTAAACGCGAGGCCCTCTGGGAGCTGCTCCAGGTGGGCAAGCCAGCCTGGCAGAGCTATCGTTAGCCTTTTACCTGAGAAGCACACGCTGTGGCCTCCCCCTCCTGCACCATGAAAAGTCTCCGCTAAGCTGAGGTTTCCCCCGGGCCCAAGGCTGCGCTTCCCTGCGCGGAAGCCATCATTCTGAAAGACAGGGCTGAGCGATTAGGATCAAAATCAGACTCCTCGAGCACGCATGGGAAACTCCCCAAACTCGGCCGGCCAGCAGGTGGCAAGGCCACAGGACACCCTGCTCCTCCTGCTCGCCGGCCCCGCCCACTGTCATAACTGGGAGCCTGCTACCAGTGAGGAGCGGCTGTGAACACAAGTGTGCCTTAGGGTGGACAGAGCAACAGGCAGAAGTGTGGACCTAACAACCTACGAAAATATTAATGGCAAAATATCCAAGCTCAGCCAATGTTTTCAAATATAGTGACAGCCAAATTAGCTCATTTGAAAGACAAAAACGGGGCCAGCGAGATAGCTCAGCAATCTGAAGTGCTTAGATGCAAACTTAGGCAAACTTAGGCAAGTGTAGGATCCATGGTTCAATACATACATACATACATACATACATACATACATACATACATACGAAAAGACAAAAAACAAAGTCCCATAATCTAGTCCAACTGAAAGTGCAATTTATGTATGTGGCTTGAGACAGGGTCTTGCAATTTGCTTATGCTGACTTTGAACTAACTATAAAACTCAGGTTAGCCTCGAACAGGGATCCCTCTGCCTCAGTCTCCCAAGTGCTGGGATTACGGGTGTGTGCCACTACACTGTTTACTATTTTTTGCTTTTTTTTTTTTTTTTGACATATATAACATCCTGAGCCCCCGTCTTTTTTCTACCTACATATTTTGTAAAATCTTGCAGATGGCTTCACACTAAAAAAAAAAAAAATTTATAAAATCCTACATGTCGGCTGGGGAGACAGCTCGGTGGTCCAAGTATCTGCCTGACCAGTGCAAGGACCCGGGTTTGACGTGGAGCTACACGCTGTGCTGGCCCTGAACCCCGGGCGTGCAGTGCTGGCCACTGAAACTGGACATGCTGGTGCACTCCTGCAGTCCCAGAGCTGGGGAGGCGACACAGGAGGATCATTGTGAGTCTGAGCTGCACAGTGAGACCCTGCACCAAGTAAAGAAATGATTCAAAATAGCTGTAAAATTCTACTTAACTCTTCCTAACCTTTTTCTTTTTTGTGTAGCAACATGTACACAGCATAAAAATTACAGACATAATCATTTTTAACAGAACACATTAGAAGCATTAAATACATTCACGCTGTACAGCCGTCACTGCTACTATACCAGGAGTTCTTTCTCATCCTGTAGAACTAGAATCATTTATCACTAAACAGTAACTCTCCATGCTCCTGGCGCCCCGGCCTCTGGCAGCACCATTCTACGTTTGTCTCTGTGATGCTGGCTAAGTCCCGCACTTGGCTGGAGTCACGGCCTACCTGTCCTTGTGCCTGCCTTACTCCGCTGGGCACAGCGTCCTCAGGGTCCCTGCTTGCTGTATCGCACAGCACGGCTTCTTCCTTCCTAAGGCTGAGCAATGCCGCGCTGCGTACTCTGTACTGTCTAGCCTTTCGTGGCCACCTGGGTTGCTCCTACCTTAAAACACGTGACTTTAACAGCAGCATACTTTCCCACTGACTAGACAGGTTCTGTTCAGGTGTTCACTTATTGTTGATATCTGAGCTATTTTCTTATTTTTACATTTTGAGAAACTACAATAAACATTTTTGTGCAACTCTTCTGACACTTCAAAGTTTTCATTTTCATCATTTTTTCAGAAGTAAAATCTCTTGGGCACAGATAGCAGAATGCAAAGGAACAACTGAACCTGTGGCCTACTTTTGTAAGAAAGTGTTACTGCCGCGCAGCCATGCTCACTCGTGTGCACATTATCTACTGATTACCTTCTGGGAAATGCACAGCACCACTGCATTTGAAAGCCACTTGGAAGACTGGGCACGGGGCCAGGGTGATAGCTCGGTAGAATAAGCGACTGCCTAGCAAGTGCAAGATCCTGAGTTCAATCCCAAGTACTGCAAAAAAAAAAAAAAAAAAAAGGGCATGGTGGCGCACGCCGGTAATCCCAGCACTTGGGAGATTGAAAATAGAAGGATCACTATGAGTCCGATCTGTGTAGTGAGACCTTGTAGACCCTGTACTAAATACCAAAAAAAAAAAAAAAAAAAAAAATCCTGTGTACTAACACCTACTATTAATAGCCACTAACAGTCACTCAGACAGCGTACCTGTTTACACACTGACTTCCCAGAGTGTCGCTTGGGCAGGTGTTAAGAATTTTAAGATAAACTGTACACACACACACACACACACACACACACACACACAAATGTGATAAAGTATCTGAATAAATGTGATAAAATTGTCATTCTTGTATTTCCTGTTATACTGTCTTACAAAAGTTAGCAAAAAACATGCAATTTTTGATCATCTTGTATTTAAATCAGACTGGTTAGTGGCTAATGTACTTTTTGTACATAAAAACTACATGCAGATTGGTACAGTAGTATAATCTCAACATGGTATCATGTATCCAATTTTTTTTTTACACCTTTCTGTGTTCTCGAAAAGCCCAAGTTTATTTATTTAATTTCATTTTAATTTATTTTGTGGCTGGCTCAGCCCACCCTGGGGGCAGGGCTGGCGTGGCATGTGGTGCTGGGGATTGAACTGCAGTCCCTGTGTGCTTGCCTAAGCTTGCCAAAGGAGGCACTTTAGACCAGAGCTATCTTGCCGGCCCGCAAAGCCCAAGTTTAAGGACTGCAGGATATACACATACACAGCACAGGCTTGCTTGCTTGCTTTCTCTCTCTTCTCTCTTTTTCTTTCTTTCTTTCTTTTGTGTGGCCAGCTCAGCCTACCCTGGGGGCAGGGCTGGTATAGCATGTGGTGCTGGGGATTGAACCGTAGTCCCTACGGCTTGCTTAAGCTTACCTAAGCAGGCGCTTTAGATTGCTGAGCTATCTTGCCAGCCCTGGCATACTTTAATTATTCTTTTGCTGTTAGTTTAAGTTATTCCCAATGTTTCACCATATAAAAGGTGATAAAAAGATGTTTACATTCTACTGTAAAAAAATTACAGTAACAGAGGCACTGCCACGAAGGATGGGATGCCTTGAAAGGGGAGTTTCTTAGGGCAACTCATGACGATGTGAATTAAAAATGGAAACATCCATCATAGTTTTTAATCATAAGAGGTTGATCATTTACTGCAATTTTTATTACACACAAACAGTACGAAGTGTCCTTATGCATCTTATTTACTGGATTGGGAACTGTGCAATTTCTGGCTGTTCCCCAAGTCAAAATGACCATGAAAGATGGGCGCTTTGAACCAGTTTAGGATGTGTCATGGAGGAAGCCAAAACAGAGCACGTAAAGACAAGGATGGAAGAGGACTTCCAGAACTTTCGGAAAGTGGCAGGAACAATGGGACACGTGTGCTCAAAGTGAGGGGGAATATTTTAAGGAGGACCAAGGGTAATGTCTCTTTTACTGTAACAAATTTTAAAATTTAACCACTTACTTTGTCTTGTGGCAATACCTTGTATATACGGTTTGCAAAGCGCATTATAATCATTATGCACTGTAAACACGTGTCAATAAAAAAAATTGAAACTCATTTTTCTTAAAAAAAAAAAAGTAACACTTATTGGATCAATGACTATAAATGTTTTTAAAAACCACATTACTTTTTCCCAGAAAGGCTACACCATTTACACACAGGAAACATATCCTTATAAGAAATTACGGTCTCACAAACATCTCTACCCTTTCTTTCTTCCCTCCACTATTTCTGTACATAAAAACTGATACCTTTTTAAAAATAAGCTTTTTCCTTCTCGTTTTAGTTATCTGTTAGCTCCTTAGCACTCTTTTTTTTGTGAATGCTCTCTTCATCCTTTTTGTTCATTTATGGACCCGGGGTTCTCCCTTCCATTTCCCCCAAGATGCTGTTTATTATTTTTAAGTGCTTCCTATTTGTTCTATTTTTATTGGTTTTGAAATACTGAAAAGTTTTACATGAGCAGATCTCTAGCTAAATGTCCTTTGTGTTTGCTGCACTGATTTTAACCTTTAGACATAGAAAACATGTGATTACCTGAAGCAAAAACTTCCTTGGCACAGTACGCGTCAATATTACCCCGATGTAACCTCGTGCTTTTCCTTCGGAGGATCTTCCAACCCAAACACACACTAAGGAACCGCGCATTATGGCCAGTTCATACTAGAAGTTGTCCTTTTTCTGAGAAACCTTCTGTTTTAACTTGGGCTATCTGGCTTTTACACATTTATTATTTTTCTTCAAAATATCAATCCAAGAGAGAAAGAGTAGCATAATTTTGGGATGGGAAGTTTGAAAAATAAAACTCAGTTTAAAAAATTCTATTTAAAAGACATAAAGGGTATGCCAAGGAGCCCTGGAGGCGGGGAGCGAGGGCGCACAGGTCTGGGCGCAGGCAAGGCACACCACCTCTTGCGCTTCCCTGCTGCTTCCCTGCTCGGGGCCAGGAGGCGGCTGGCCGGGCCTCCGCCGCTCATCCGGATGCCCGGCCACACTCTCCGTGAGCGCTGGCCGCTGCAGCGCTCAGGAGGCTGGTGGGAAGACAGACAACCCGGGAGCACCGCTGTTCAGACTGCAGCCCCTCGGGAACGCACAGGCCCGCCCTGTCCACGATTTGCGGCGACTGACAGATGTACAGTGAAACTAATAAAATAATCTCAGAAAGAAAACTCACGTGAAGTATTATGCTATTATAGGCTTGAAAAAAATCTTCACATTTGTCATTTTGGGCTCCATACCAGATCCTTAAAGATTCACGTTTAGGGTCGGCCAAATAGCTCAGGGGATTAAAGCGCCTGCCAACAGGTGCAGGGGCCGCCGCGGGTTCGATCCCCGATCCCGGGCCTGCGTGCCGGGAGCGCGGAGGCAGCAATTGAGACCGCGTGGTGGCGCGCGCCTGTACTCCCAGCTCTTGGGAAGCTATAAACAAGCGGATCACTACGAGTCCTATCTAGTAGCGAGACTCTCAACACCCTGTAGACCCTTCCCTAAAAAAACACACACACACAAAAAAGGAAAAAGACTCATTTATTTTATCCGCAAGTAGACAACAGAAACTTTGACAAGCACTGTAGCTTTTAAATAATAACTATGATTAACAGTTACTCTATTTCTTAATTAAAATGGTTAGTCTATTTGGAATATGCTCATATTCTCCCAGGTAAAACAGCCTACAAAGAAGATTCTCTAAAAATATGCAAGTAGGAGGCTATAAAATTTCAAGTACTGCTTTGGACCTAACTTATTTGTGAAAGGGCTACAGCCACTTCCGCCCAGTGCACGCACGCACGGCACTTTGGCGCCACTTCCTGCTCAGTGGTGCCGAGACCACGCAGGAGGCACGTGGCCCAGAGCAGCGACAGCCAGGCCGGAGATGCTCGTCCTTGACCTCGGGAGCCTGATTTTTGTCATGACATGTGTGTAACTAATGCGTCACTTTTAAACGCTGTCAGTTCCACCCTATAGGCTTTAGAGGAAAATATCCTCCCATGAGCTTTAATATTGTTTTCTAAATTTTTTCTTGGTACTGGAAATCCAACTCAGCACCGTGCGCTTGCCAGGCAGGCGCTTGCGCCGCTGGGCTGAATCCCCAGCTCCCTTTCTTTCTTTCTGAATCCCCAGCTCCCAGCTCCCTTTCTTTACCCTTGATTTCAACATGAAAGCCAAGATTCAATAATTTCATTTCAGAGCAATTTAGCAAGTAGGTATTAAACTTAAAGTAACACTGGGTTAATGTTTAACTCCTTAAAAGCACCAACCTGTTTTCTGAACTAGACGTGGAAGTGCTGGACGATGACAACGGGTGAGGGTTGGACATGCGCGAGACAAACTTCTGGATGGTGCTGCGAGAGGGAGCCTTGATCCTGGAGCTGCGCCTGCTGTGGTACTTCTGGAACAAGCTCTCCACCTGGCGTGGGAAAGAGACAGCAGCAGTGACATCCGTGCCGTGACGACACACAGGAAGCGCGCAAGCAGGCGAGTTACTCATCTTGGGTCTGCATGTTTTTCATAGAGCTGATTTAAGAGCTTCAAAAACCAGAACACACTAAAATTATCACTATTAATATTTAGTGCTCATGATTTTCAGGAAGGTACTATAAAAATTTCTTGACAATTTTACTCAAAGCATTTATTTAAAAAAAAAAAAAAAATCACCTCAAAATTCTTTAAAGTCTTTCTCCATAACATTGGGTCTGAAGGTTCTAGCTGAAACACCCGGAGCATAACAAATAACAGATGAATACAAAATGTCCCCCGGCCACAGCTGCAGTTCTGCAGAATTAAAAGAAAACCCGAGTTACTACATCTGTGATTCTATTACGATTTCTAACTTTATCGTAATTTTTTAATATTCTGGTTTATTATATGTATTACTTCATATCCTTCATTCTCCTCACCTTAAACAGTGTACAAATACTTTTATAAATTAACTCTTTAAAAAGATACTAAGTTATAGTAAAAACCTCAAAATACATTAAAAAACGTTTATTAGCCCCAAATATATTTTAAGCACTTTATTTTTCCTAAAGGAACTAGCAGTTTAAGAGCCTTTATAATATGTAAATTTAAGTAAGATACATGAACACAACACAGCACGTGTCGCGCACTACCTGCGGCCCGATGAACACCCGGTACTTGTTGTCCGGGCTGTCTCCTCCAATCAGGAAGGAGTTGGGTCCTATTTGCTGCAGTAAGTACAGCCGCGCCCGCATCACTTTGTTCACTCGGCGGTTCGTCTCCTCTGGGCTGTATGGCGAGAAGCCGTCCGGCGAAGGGGCTCTCCGGGGTGGGGTGATTCTGCCGCTCTGAAACTTCACGACAGGTATTTCATTAGGTAAGTTTCTTACTTCTCCATGAGGAATAAATATCCAAAAACAAAGTCATGCCAGACAGCCATGTGGTAGATTATATGCTGAAAAAAATGCCTCAGTTTGTCTAATGAAACAGAGTCAGTTAAAACACTGTTGTCTGCCATGCTCCTCTCAGGCAAACTTAAAAATCTCAGTTATCCTTCCAACTGATGATAAAGCTCTGCTTGAGGCAGGCAACCATGTGGTCATTTTACAAATTGCTCTATAAATATTTGAGCTCTTTGAAAAGTAGTAAAATTAAAAACAAAGTCAACATCATAAGCAGGCAAAATAACAACATCTAGTGGTAAAAAATTAAACACATAGTCCCGTGGCGTCTGTTTAATGCTTTATTGGACGCCATCTGTAGCTGGCACCTAGCACCACACGCAGCTTCCCTCAAGGAACACTATGTGGAGACCCTTCCTGGACTGACGCGCCAATGGAGGGGCAAAGCCTTGCCTGCGCGTTCGGCACATCGATGCTCTCGTTAGACTTCGCTGACGGCCAGAGCGTGGGCTCTCCTTCAGTACTCGGTGGAATTCTGGTTGTTCGGGACGCCTCACTCACTAGTTAATCAATGCTGGCAAGAACGTGAAGCGGCGGGAACCCTCTGGCAGTAGGTAGGATGTGTGGGAGCAGTGCAGCAGCTCCTCAAAAGGCTGCACCTTTTACCTCACAATTCCGCTGCCAAGAATAAACCCCCGAGAAAGCAAGGTACGCTGAACAGCCGAAAGGGAGGAGCGGCGCCGCCGAGAGTATGGGTCACACCCGCGACAGAAAGCGCCGTTCTGCGTGTGTAGATGGAGCGCTGACGCACGCTGTAGGACGGACTTGAAAGCATATGCTACAAGGAGAAGGACGCCAGACCCGAGACCGCCTGTGATGGAGCTCAACTTACACGAGATGTGCACAACAGGCAAAGTAGACACGAGCAAAATAGGCAGGAATTTCCAGAGCTGGGGAGACTGCTGTTAAAAGGCAAACTTCAAACAAAATAAATTTAGGGGTTTATGTGAGCAAAGAATGACGCATCAACCATACAGCACTCAAAAGCGGAAGGTCAGTGAGCTCTGGTTAGTAGCACCAACTGCCACCTTCCCCAAGCTGAAGACACAGTTAACTCTCGCTGAGGTGCTTACAGTAAGAGCTGATCCCCACTTACACAATCAGTTGGCTGTTCACAACTGGCCACGGCTGTTTGGTTTCCAGGTATAGCAATACCTTCAGGCTCATGGCCTCCTGCTTATTTTGCTTTAGCAGTGGAGCTGTAGGGTCTGTGTGTGTGCGAAGATGCACTCTACTTATGCTTCTGGTACACTCTTACTTTGACAGCCTCCACAAAGCCCACCTTCCACTATGAGAGATGGGAGTGTGCCTACCACTCCACACAACTCGGTTCAGCACAGAGCTCGCTTTGGGCAGTGCGGACTTGCCCCCCAGCACCTGTGCGGCGACCCAGCCCCCGCGCCACAGGAAGAGGTGCAGGGGCCCAACTCTTCTCCCGTTCTCGCTGAAGCGATGCCTGTGAGGGGCCAAGCGGCGATGGAACTGCCACTTCAGAGGCCACGGGGAGCAAAGCTGCGCTGCCCTGCTGTCCCTGTCCAGGCTGCAAATCCATGAGCTGTGGTGCTTGTGTTCTTAGCAATAAAACCAAGCTTTCTGAAGGGTTCTGTCCTCCGAACCACTCCAGCTCTGAGGAAGACCAAAGCCCCCCGGTCCCCATCTCTACCATTTTCCCACCTAGCCCTGCCTCTTTGATGTTACGAGGTGTTTGCACAAGTGCTACCTTTAGAAGTCTCGGGACCCTATAGTCCTCTTTCTGTAAACGTCTTTCATGTGTGGCTTAAGACGACAACAGCTGAATGTGACGAGGCACCTGTGCAGCAAGGCCTGACACTTAATACAAAAATTAATTTCTATTTCTCTGTCAAAAGCAGTGTTTTCTTTCCCCCCTTTTGTTCTTTTTGAGACAGCATTTTACTTCACAGTCCAGGATGGCCTTGAACTTGCAGCAATCCTCCTGCCTCAGCCTTTTGAGTACTGGGATTACAGTAGTGTGTCACCACGCCTGGCAAAAGCATCCTTAAATGAGAATGATTCCTTTTTTCTTTAATGGCTAACATAGAGCAATAAGGATTACACATTCTATTGCTAGCCTTATTTTAGATTTAAGCACCAGCCACTTTGCCAGCAGTGAAATTATCTATCAATGCAGTGAGAGATGAAATCAATGCACTAGCTTTATTACAAAACTACTTCTGACCTCAGTGCCCCGGAAAGGGCCTCAGGAACCAGTCAATGCCTTCCTCCTCACCCTATGTGCCTCGACCAGGGAAGGCACACCTGTGGCACTCGTGCCACGTCCGTCTGCTTGTCACTTTGAAAGCACTCACAGGTTCACCACAACCCACAGACATACTTTGAAAATCACTGCTCTAGCAGATGGCCAAGCCACTTTTTCTGTGTCATATATGGGCCTAAAAATGAGAGAATAACATACGTGTCAGAACATGAACTTACAGGCACTGGGGAAACTCTCTTTCTCCTGACGCCTGGAGACTCGGACTTCACCGTGCGGCCCGCTGGGGCTGGGGAGCTCCCTGGAGACGGGCTGCGCCGGCCCTTGGGGGTTGAGCACGCGGTGCTGGCCGGGCTGTCGCCTGGAGCCTCGCTCGGAGAGTTGCTCACTTCGGACCCATCTCCTTTAATAGGGATCGGTTTTACCACCTGAATGAAAAGGATTCCAGAGTTTTGAGTACTTACAAATATAAAAGATGAACACAACTGAATATCACAGATTAGGAGAACGAACTTAATGAGTTGTTATAAAATATTAAGCATACCAGGTAATACTTGGTATTTATTACTTTTAAGCCATTAATGTCAAAAAATATTTTCTTATATAATAAATATCAGAGTTAATCACTGGTTAAAATGCTATTATACAAAATTTTAGACATTATCTTATTATGCCTCTAAGCTCATTTAATATTCAAAATCAGCCAGGTTTTCATACAGCTTAGGGGCACAGCACCCGCCTGGCAAGTACAAGGTCGAGTTTGGTTCCTAGTACAAAAAAAAAAAAAATCAAATTCAATAAAAGGTATTAAGTAAATGTGAGAAATAAGCACTTTTAACTTCAGTTAATTTATTCAATGATACTGAAAAATCTATCTTTTTGAAAAATGTAGGGCTTTGCAAATGACACTGAGCACAATTTTAAGAAATCAAGTAGTCTGATGCATACTAAGCCATGTCTGATGGGCTCTGGCCCAAGCATGAACTGCTGAGCTATTATGGTGGTCATCTATCATGGCTGAAGCCCTTAAAACAACAGCTCATCTTCCCAGTAAGCCCTTCTTCCTTCTCCACGGCCCCGTCCTGGACAGCTTCCTCTCACCTCTCCAGAGCACACGGGAGACCCCAACCAGCTCTCTGCATGTAACCGAATCTGATCCTCAAAGTCCACCCCTAGCAAGAGCCCATCAAAGCCTCAGCTTTCCTCGTCTCAGGTCAGAGGATTCCCCCATCTTCCCTTGGTCCTCACCGAGTCTTTAGGGTTAATAAAGGCTTCTTTCATCTGTCCTATCTCTTCATTGTGCCATTAAAAAAAAAAAACAGAAAACACTATCAATGTTGTTGTTTTTAAGCAATGATTTTAATCGTAGTTTACACATGTATCTCAGAAAACTAAAAGGAGCCAAACTGTGTAACACCAATTTCTCAAGGAGCAATGCAGTTTACAAGAGCTACCTCATCTTTTTAATATTAGGAGTCTCAGGCTGAAGGAGCCACGAGCAGAAGGCCCAACCCCTCACACCCAGAACACGGCACACCACACCCCCCTGTGTCCACAGCTGGCTGCTGTGCCACCAGCCCTGCCTGCCTTCCTGTGCTCCATGCTGCACTTTCGTCCTAAGTCTCACGGGCTTGACGAAAGCCAGGAAGCTACATGGCTGACACTGACAAAGGTTCTACAATCTGAGGTACAGGATCTCAGGATAAATCCTAAGGGGATTTCACTGACCTTATCAGACCCAAAAGCTACAACTCTTGTTGCATAGGTCCTGCTTTACCTTGGTCTTAGCCATCCAGCAGAAAAGTATAAAAACAAAGTAGAAGAAGTAAGGCCATGGTGTTATGTTGAGCTGTAGGGGACTCAGGTCAACAATTTCTGACATTGCCAGTCAAATGGAAGACCCAATACTATTATGGACTACTGGACTCTTTTAGAATATTTTGCTGAGTTTACACACCTATAATATTTAAATGATGGAACTTAACAAAAAAAGGGGATACAGATGAATGTCCATTTTGAATCTGTGTATTCAAAGTGGTTAGGATAGATATACAGTTACATTCTCTTAATGAATAGAGGGATTTGTTCTAATGGTGTTTGTAAATAGGATATCATGTCCGCATCTTGTACAGCAATTAACCACTAGGAAGATGTATGCAATGTGTTAATTGTTGAAACTGTCCTACCAATTTGGTTTGAAACTGTCTCATTGCTATTTGTTTCTCAAAAATTATGGAAAAAAAAAAAGCTAGGAAGCTGGTATGGAAAGGACAGCCAGATCTACTTTGTAGTGTTGTGTGGGCTAAAGTCAGGACCCATGGATAGAGAACACGGGCAGAGGGCCGGCCAGATAGCTCAGCGGATTAAAGTACGAGATAGCTCAGCGGATTAAAGACTGTGGCCCCTGCGTCTGCTAGGGGCCACAGGCTCAATCCCTGGCCTGCTGTGCTGGCCCCAATCCTGACCCTAGGATGGACTAAGACAGCTACTGAGACTGGATGTGGTGGTGTGCACCTATAATTCCAGCACTTGGAAGGCTGAAAACAGGAGGATCACTACGAGTCCAATCTGTGTAGTGAGACCCTCTACTAAATATATTAAAAAAAGGAAAAAGAAAAGAAATCGCGGGCAGACTGCAGCTCAGCAGAGACCACGCAGTGCCAGACGCCTACTGGCACCAAGATGATGAGCATGTCGTAGCTGCACTGCCCAACAGCAGCCCTAACCACAAATAGTTATTAGAATCTGAAAAGTACCTTATGCACATGCAACTACGGAAATAAATTTTTACTTTAGTTAAATTTAAACAGGCACATGGGATGAATGTAGAGCTAGAGGATCTTTTCGCAGGGGTATAATTTATGCCCTTGCCAAAGTTTAGGTCCTACGGTCCCATCCCTACTTTAAAAAAAAAAAATAATAATAATAATAATGCGCAAGTATGAACGAGTGCTTGTGATATACCCTTGGAAACAGCCGCAGCAAGGAAGGGATACAGCCCCTCTGCTTTCCTAATGTAGGAGTCTGAGTGAGGCTTTCTCTCACCAAATTTCATACATTTTTCATTTATCTTAAACTCCATAACTTAAGTTTTTCTGCTTTCCTAGAAGATCTCTGGAGTTAAGATTCTTGGAGTCTATCTTAGAGATTTGAGCAAAACAAACTGGAAAATCTACCTTTTTAAAACCTTAGCACAGTATGAAACTTTAATGAAAGGATTTTAGATTCTGGCATTAGAGGGCAGTGTTGCTTCAAGCATTTAGCCTTCTACCAACTATTTAATTTTCTATAATTAAGGTGCTTCATGAGCATGGTTTTAAAATTTGTTTCAAGTGGGTAGAATAGTGAGGAAATAAAAGTATTGTGTTTAAAATGAAGAAGGTAAAAGTGCACAAAGCAATCCACTTCTGCAGAGCTCTCCATTTCTCCTTCTGTTTCCTTCCTCAGAGAAGGTAACCCCAGCACTCACCACGGGGCCCCTCCGGTTTCTCCTTTCCAACCACTCGTGCTTCCAAGCTGGCATGCACGTGGCCTTCAATTTCTCCCTGATCATCCGCTCTTCCGGGCGATCGTCCATCTTGTGCAACCCTTTGAGAGTCTCTTTATTGTCCATCTCACGACTAAAATGGAGACAAGAAATGAGGAGAATGAGAATTTTATATACAAGAAATAGTTTTTAAGAACAAGTAGTACAGTATGGCTGTTTCATACTTCCAATGAAAGCCCCAAGTGACTGAAGCATGAATGAAAATACTGTACGGTACAACACGCTGTTCAACTTCCAAGGTGGATCGTGCTGAACGCTGCCTGCTAAGATGAGCTAAAGGAGCAAGGCTCCGCCGAGAAGGTGCAGGCTTCCTCAGGCTATCAATGCAGATCTTTGTTTGAGGACAGTCCCCAAGATGGATCTTAAGCATCACACACTACATTAACAAGTATATTCAAGGTGACTGCAGTTTCCTACTGTATTACCCTCGCCCATATACAACAGGCAAGTATTTATAAGGGTTTAATACCCAGTATCCCAGGATTTCTAATGATTTATCAGTACAGTTAGAATCTAGCAGGTATACTCATTTTGTAAAAATAAACATTTCATAAACCAGGTGAAAGTTAACTAGATCTTCTATGATCCTGAAGAAATTTTTTGAAGCTTAAATTATTACATTTGTTTTCTTGAACAAATTTGTAACAAATCACTTACAAAGCCTAAAGAGTCACTCAAGAAAATTACTAATCTCAAAATATATTCCTACCAATACACACACACACACACACACACACACACACACTTTCAAACTCGGTTCCTAAGAAAACAAGTTAAAGCAACTGTACTCTGGAAAAACTAACAATTTTCAAATACTTAGCTAACTTCAATAATTTGGGAAGTCTACAGAGCTAGAGAATAATGTTTCTACACTAATAGGAAAAGAAAATATTCAAGGAAATACCAGAGACGATAACCTCCAGCTTACTAAAAATTCAAATTCAAACTCCCCTAGGAATTTTCCAGCTAATCACCACTCTGAAGTTGTATCTCCTGAAGTCATACCTTCAGAAAACCAGCAAAAAACTCAAATTAAAACCAAATAGGCACTGGAGAGGGAAAGCTTGAGTGGTTTCAGTGAAGCATCAGTACTGTGGGCTGGTGGGAACTAATACGATAAACAACACTGCCAAAAACTGGGCTCAGAGGTGGCGAAGCTAAGGCCCAGGTGCTGCGGCGGGCTCTGGGTCTCACCGAAAGACCTAAAAGGTCAGCCAGGGCTGGAGGCATTCTCCAGGAACACAAAGACCACAAAATATGGTATCAAGCTTGCAAATGGGCATTAAGACCATACAGTGAAGTATCTCTGCCATACAGAAAAGCTATCACACTGAAGGAGTGAGACACAGGAAACACTGGGGTAAGCCTAAAACCCAAGCTACGGGGCGCAGCGGCCTCAGCTCAGCGCCTGCGCCCAGGCCCGTTCCACGCTGCCCTGCTTCTTTCACGCCCCAGGACTCGACCTCCCTGCAGGGCTCCTGTGTTTCCTACTCTCACTACTTTCTGCCTCACTCGTTTCTACCTACTCCTCAGGTTTTCCTCAGCCTCCTCCAAGACCTGCCCAGTCTCAATTAGGGATTCTGTTCCTTCAGAGCTCTGTAATTTTCCTTCAAAGTGCCTGCTGCAATTTGCAAGCCATCTCTCCCGCCTCACCAACCGTGAGCTCCATGAGGACGGGGACTCTGTATCTTAACCGTGCTGTCCACATCTAAACACGTGTGGCTTCTAAAGCTACTAACACACAGATTCAGTGGATGCTAACCTAACATCGTGGGCAGTCCTAAGGACCTCTTACCTGTACACTTAAGGACTGCTATGGTTTACTTCTGGATATCCCCCCAAAGGCTCAGGCACTCGGAGGCAGGGCTTCCTGAAGGTGCCTGCCTGGGCTGTGGGGGCATCCCAGGGGCCTGCTGCGAGGAGGTGGCGTCTGGCCAGAAGAGGCAGACCCCGAGGGCGTGGTCTGGAAGGGTGGCGCTGCTCCCCAGCCCAGCGGCTCCGCCCTCTGCTTCCCGCCTGCCCGCCCGGCCTGGCCGGTGAGCTGAGCGGCTTTCCCACTCCCGCGCATCCTGCCACGCAGCCAGCCAGCTAAGGTCTGCGATGTGAGCTGCTCTTTGACTTGTGGGTTCTTTAAAAGCTCTTTAAAAGTTGTTGGGTATTCTGTCCCAGGAACAACTTATGTTGCTCTTTTAATTATGACTAAATTTGTAATTTAGGTATTGTTTGTTAGATTAAAAAAAAATGATACAGGGTCTCACTACAACGCCCCGACTTATAGTGATCCTCCCATTTTCAGTCTCTCAGGTGCTGGGACTACAGGCATGTGCCACCACACGCTGTCTTAAGACAGAATTTTAAACTGGTTCCTAAGGTAATTTGCAAATATGAGCCACACTATTCTTTCCAGTATTTCACATCATTAATTCGAAATTATGTATTTCTCACATTTTAACACCTGAAATCTGACTCAATTAAATGTTGTTAAAATTGGCACATTTTTCTGCTTTTTTCATGATATATGAAATTTAATGATCTAATTTACAACCACTGGTATCTCAGAATCAACAAAATATACAGGAAATCCTATTTTATTTGTAGGAAGAAATCATACCTACTCAGTTTCTTCTGTCTTTGAAATGGAAACCAAACTGGGAAGAAAAACAAGTTTTTCTTATATACCTGTCTTGTTTTCCTACAATCCTAACATAATCTTCATAGATCAGAGAGGTATGCTTTCTTGTTTTATCAGACATTTCCACGTTTATGTGGCTACACATGTACCACAGCGATTTGACTGTTTACTTTGAAAGGAAGCACAAGCTAAGACACCTCTGCTCCCCTCGACCGCAAGGGACCCAAGGCACTAGTTCTGCACAAGGCCTGGGAGACACAGGACCACAACGCACAGAGCCAGGGTGCTGAGAAGCCCACCGAGACTTTTAGAACTTATTTGTTAAGTGATTTCTCTTTAGTGTGGCAATATGTTGGCCAAGAACGAGAGACAGGACGAAGCTGCACCACCGTGGAAAGGGTCGAATGCTACCTGCCGGACAAGGCGTCCGTGTCCACGCGGACAAACTCACTTAACTGTTCCACAGCCCCGTCAGGTCCTCAGCGTCTGAGGCTCAGAAAGACGAGGTCGCATGCCCAGGGCTGCTCGCTGGGAAGTGGGTGGCAGGACAAGACTTGAACCTCTGCTGCATGGACCCAAGACCCCGTGCTCTTCGCGGCTGTGGGAGGTCGCTCGCTGCCCACCCTGACCTGATCTTCGGAACCACTCAGGACCCACATCCGCGCTGGCAGTGACTCATGATTATACAAAATATTTTTCACAATGGCAATGACTGGCCCACGAGCATCACAGCAGCACATAACTCTTCACGTAGAGCGCTTCCATGTAAAAGCAGTTATGACTATAAGTGATTACGTAAGACCTTTCAGAAAGCTAAAAGGACTTATTTAACCGTAGTATAAAGATTTCTACACAGTCCCGATTCTGGGTAACTCGAAAAAAAGAAAAGTATTGATTTTTGAGATCCAAGCAGCCTCGTGGAGCCTTCAGAAGTACACTGGCTAATTAGACAGGGACAGTTTGGAGCTACCTGTGAGGCTCTCCGATTAGCAGGGAGTCAAGCCCTACCACGCCACAAACTTCGCTCCACAGAGAGAAGAGAAGCAAGGGAGCAGCTACCTTCCAAGTCAAAACTGGTCACCTGTGGGACCCCAGTGGGAGTTCCCAGGTCACAGGAAAGAGAAAGAATGAACGAGGCAAGGGCACAGGGAGCTAACAGCGCTTTATCACGGACAGGACACTGTCAACAGCACCATGGGCTTTAGTTCAGTATACAGAGATATATATAGA